TTTAGAAGTACCATAACTTTGGATTCATCAGGGCTCTACTCTCCCACTCCACCAAACATGACAATACTATGGATATACAGAAAAGTAGATTATTTATACAGACATGGGAATTTGTGAAAAGGAGATCTGAGCATTCCCACAACCATGACCAATTCTAAAAATATACTGTAATAGTTAATAGCTATTTTTTTAATGGAAAATATTATATGTGCCAAACTCAGCTCAGACTGATTGAGAATTATAGCTACAAAGGCTGGCTTGGCTGTTTGAAAAATCTTAAGTGAATTTTATGAGATCAGAATTCTCATTCCAGATCTTTCTCCCAAGCCTGGGGCAACTGTGTAACTCGCCTTCTCAACTTTGAAGTATTCCTCTTCTACAAGGCTGTGGTTGCCCACATCTTTTGCTAAAGGTTAATTCCCACTATCTACAATCAGTTTCTGGGGAAATTAGACCATCAGCCAAAAAGTGAAATTCCTCTCTTCCTTTGAACTGAAGAACTCCACTTCTCTCTAGGCTGGAATAGTAGCTGCTGCTGTTCAAATAAGAGAGAGGCTGGAGTTATTGGTTAGATTGAAGTGGAGCCCTGCTAGAGAGAAGTTGGGCTCACATAAGTGCTTGGTTCACATGTGAGCTTATTTTAATTTAATCATTAGGTTTAATAATTCCATTCACAATTACATTTTTGGATTATGAAACATTTTGCCTTTTGGAGCTCAATGTCTTCCTTAGACAAACACACCCACACATTAAACATGCACACACCCTCTTGAAGAATCAGTGCATTTATGAAAAGGAAGCCTTTACCCGAGAATGCAGGTGCTCACTTCCATTTCTTTCCTCCAAAAAGTTCTCAGCTATTTTAGAAGCTATGTTGAGTAAATATCTAAATAAGCCAAAGATTAGGGATTCTGTTTACTTGGCTATTATTCTGGGTTGCCATTTACCTTCATTATTGAACTTATGTTGAAATCCTAAAGCTATCAGATTCTACCTCTCATTCCATATTATGCTTGTCATTTATCCCTTTTCTGCTGTGCAAGAAAAGAAGGCTCCTGCCAAATGAGTGTTGTAAAGTACAAATCTTATTCTGCATGCATACATTCACATTCGATAAAATAAAATAACTTAATTTTGCTATAAAATCTGTACTGTATGTAAGGCAGTGAGTACCTTATCAATTCTAGTTGGCATATGCCATCTTGCAGCTTTGTCCCCCTAATATCTTACTGAGAACTCACCAAGATCTTCTTGGAGCATCAGTGTATTTCTGATAAGTTAACTCAGTTGAAAAAATTATAAAAGAGCAAGGGGAAAAAATACAGTGGAATATGCATATGCCTATTTCCAAAGCAAAAGCTTCATTGCAAAACCTGAAAAAGAAGTTTAAAGAATTACTCGCCCACAGAAGACTGAGTCATTGTGCCTGAATCTGGATCCTGATTCTAGGCCCTCGCTACTGGGTGACCTTAGGTATATAAGTTAGCAAATACCCCTTAGACAGTTTAGATAATAACACTCTACACATCAGGAATACCCCCCAAAATGCTTTCAGGTGTAGTTATTGTTATTGCCCTCATTATTATAGTTACTGTGACTACTGTAACTCTCCCCTGTTCATTCAAGTCTAAAATATAAAAGTAGTAGAAATGAGATTTACTGGTTAATATCCAACATAAAGTATCACTTATTTTTGGGAAACTGGTGTGTAAGACTGCTGTGACATTTTAATAAATCCATATCCTATTGTGAAATGCATGTACACGTAAAGAAGACAAAAATAAATCTAGTGTTGAGATTTCTATTATTTTGAGTGTATGACTTAAGGTTTTAAGAATTTGGAAAGCTTGATTTTGTTTAAACTGTTTGAAGAGGAAATATAAGCTGAGGTAGGCCTTCTTTAACCCTACAACTTAAGCAAACGAAATGTACATTTGGTACTAGGGAAACAGTAAGGAACTAAACATGTTACCTGACATGCTCCAACTTAGGTGATGGGTCAGAAAAATAACTTGATAATGCTACTCAAATATTTGAGATGTGCAAACTGTGAGATTAAGGAGGGATTATTCTATAAGAAAAACTTTAATGTAAAGATGAACTACTAAATAAAAAAGATAATTGGGCTTAGGTATGCTAATTGCATAATCAAATTTCATTATTAATAATGTTATATAACAGTCAAAAGGAAATCGTTTCTTTTAGAGCTAGTTGAAAGACTCGAATAAACAGCAGAGGACAGCTTATAAATGATCTTTTAGGAAATGATCCAGTTAAACCAAAAGACTTTGCCAGTCCCTATGATCTATGAGAAAATTTCCAAGTCAGTTAGCAAATGTCAGTTTTACTTCTTCAACTAAAAGGTGCTCTAAATCTCTGTGATTATGATTTTTAAACCTTTTATTGTTAAACTTTCCAAATGTGAATTCATCAGTATATCCCCAACATCAGTCCTGCCCAAGATATTCATGGCTCCTCACTGCCTTGGCCCTTGAATCTAGATCAAGAGCTTTAGGGAAATGATATCTGCTTTTCTAAACTGTTTTTAGTCCACTGCCCACAGCACACATTTCTAAGGTTAGAAAACCAATTAAGAACACCATCTGTAATCAACACCTTTACAGAACATTTTAGGAATTTCCCTTAAGTAATCAAAGCACTGAAAGAATATTATTTACATATTTTAGAAGGTAGTATACGTTCATTCAACAAAAATGGATTGGTGGTATATTTTTCACCATGAGTCTACTACAAGATATTTTCTCAGTCCTGAAATAAAGTCAAACTCCAGACACGTTATCTCAAATAGTTAAACAAATGCAAAAAAGACCCAACAAACGTACACAGTAAAGTAAAAAACAGCTTGCTACCATTCAAAGACAACACTCAAAACAAGCATTACACACCAAACGTAACCAGTAATAAAAAGAAGTTGAAGACAAAGACAGTGTCCAAGAACTGAGCTTCAAGAGGGATCCGAATAGGTACACAGTGAGTTAGTCAGACACCTCAAGGGCCCCAAAAGCAAAACAGCAAGGTGACTCCTGACCATGGTATTTAATAGCCCTGCAGCACTCAGGGGCCAGTCAGCTTCCCAGACCTCCATCTCCTTATATGTGACATATAAGAACAAGTGGCAGCTACATCAGAGATGCTCCTGTATCACATTCAACCCACTTTCATTATTTCATTATGTCACTGCCTTTCCAGCAGAGTGGATTTCCTTCCTGCATGCTATTGAAAACAGAGTACTGATGATCTGAAATGATTTAGGCAGGAACTTCTGATTCAAGGTTTCATGAGAAGTGCTGAACTCTGACCAACAAGAACATAAAGGGGAAATGCAGAGACCTTCCTCTTGTCTAACAGGGTTCCCACCAGTCCCTTCTCTCTGGTTATATTACCATCAATACTCACTCACCCCTGGACAGAATCAAGACATTATACTGAAATGAAAAGTGATTAAGACAAATGTAATGCCATACAGAACTGACAGAGGATTTTCAGGTGAGAAGTCAAAATTCTAGTCAGGTACCTAGGTGCATACCTATAGTCGCTGCCACCTATAACAGGATAGCTTGAGCCCAGGAGTTTGAGACCAGCCTGGGCAACATAGTGAGACCCCATCTCAATTAAAAAGAAAAAACTCTGTCTGTTAAAACTGGGGTAGGGGGATCAAGGGATAGTAGAGGCTTCTGGGTTAAATTTAGTATAAGAGAGCAGAAGAAAGACTATAGTTTCCTTACAAAGGCTGACTTTCTTGTTTGATGTGAAGAGATTAATATGTCACATAGCTTTTCTTGCCCTATATTGTAAAACTTACAGAGTGCTGAACAGTATCTAGAGTGATAGTTAACCTGATGTGTTATAACACCAATTTCCCACAGCAATTGCTTATTCATGGTGTTTCAGAGTTAATTTTTTTTAGAAAATTGAAAATTGCCACTCTTTCATCAAGGGCTTCACTTACAGCCACCACACACTGTCCCTTTTGCATACCTGTATCTTAAAAAACTTTAGCTTTAGTTCTTTGCATCTCATATTCTAGGAATCTCTTTAGTTCAAAGTTTGGCTTTTTCCTTTCTATTGTACATACACTTGAGTAGCTACTGGAAGGGTGGGTGCATCTGATCTTTACAGAATACAACCTAACTCTACAATACCAGGTTGACTTGGTGGTCTTCCATTATAACAATTATACAATGAAAGAATGATCTATTTTACTCTCTCTTATAGAACACTGGTCATGTATAGTATGATAAATGTACATGGTATTTAGGAGGAAAGCTAATAAAAAGAATAGAACATGTGCCATCTTGGGAAACCAAATGATGGCATTCACTTAGGCATCTTCTGTCCTGCTAACAAAGTCTAACCTAAAAGGACAGATATCAGTGAAGGGGAAGGCCCGCCGGGTTCTGATCAAGGTTCAGTGGGGGAAAGGAGCTATGCAGGTGGTGGTAGGAGGCAGAGGCCAAACTCCTACCCAGATATCTGAGAGATGACACAGTGACAGGAAGAGAACAAGAGGGAGTGAACACCGATGTATACAACACCTTTGCTATCTATAGTTTTTCTTTTACGTTATTATAGAGATTCACAAAAATATTTAGGCCTATAAAATACTTGGAAGTATATTTGTGATATAAATATTTCAGAACCAGGCAAATAAAAAACAGTTCTTACTCTAACATTTTTTTATAGTACAAGAAACATCTGACTCTTGAAGTCGATTTTGATATTGATACATATGCTCAGTTAACAATCTTTATTAAAGACCTACGCATTGAGCCTTAAAACCAAGCTGCAAGTGCAGCCATAAACGTGACCAGTTTAACTCCCTCATAGAATTAGGACTTTACTGAAGGCAGAGACCATAATAAGCTAATAAATGAAATAATATATGATAAAATTATGGCAGGAAAGTAGGTAGAGTAAAGGAGGCAGTCAAGAAGGACAGGTAAGGGCTGGGGATGTGGCTCAAGCGGTAGTGCGCTCGCCTGGCATGCGTGTGGCCCGGGTTCCATCCTCAGCACCACATACAAACAAAGATGTTGTGTCCGCTGAAAACTAAAAAATAAATAAATAAATATTAAAATTTAAAAAAAAAAAAAAAAAAAAAAGAAGGACAGGTAAGCCTTTCTTGTTATAACAGGGAATGGAAAGAGTCTATGTAAGTCTGTGAACAACCCATTGAGATTCATTAGAAAGATTTACTTCGAAGAGCATAGATTTGTTTGGTATGTTAGTATCTTCAAATCATTTTTTCATACTTAATAAAGCTGTGTTGCCGCAGTCCGGCTGCAGCAAAATAACCGGGGGGTGACGAACAACTTGTGTACATTGATACAGCAGGAGTGGGAGCCGTTTATTGTAGGACAACAGAGGTATTTATACATTCCACACAGCTTATCTTAATTAACATAGACTAGATACAGCAGTCAACCAATAAGAAATCTCCTCACTTAATGGCTCGCTGGCGCCACCTCACAAACCACTCCCTCTGGCAAAATGCCAGGCGCCATCCAGACTTGTTTACAGACTCTAACACTGTGTGAGGGTTTTTTTCCTCCAAGTCATTTACAAATGTGCAGTACATTCTGGGGAGGGCACTCATTAGCCAAGGCACATGGTCCTTGGGCATGCTCTGGCACTAATTCTGGGCCTCCACACAGGGAGCATAGATGTCAGGCAGAACCTGTCAGGTGTTAGTACTTATCTCTCTCTTAAAAATTCCACTTGATTAAAATATTAAGAAGCAAAGAGACATTTAAAACAATAAACTCAGGAATAATCATCCAAAGGCAGCATGCATCTAACTGAGCATGCCAGTTTTTTGCCACGTAATGCCAGTATTTAGGGATTAATCCAATTGGATAGTTAAAAGTTAACTGCATATTTTAAAACTAGAATAACTATTAATTTTCAGTGCTATAAAACAATAAAAAATGCCTTTTTTGTTTAAGTAACTATGCCTACACTTTGACAACAGGACAAATTAATCAAGCTGATGTAGAACAATGACAGTTTATTTAGCTTTCTTACTTTAAATGTCAGCTGTACTTTTGCTGACAGACAGGACTTGCTGCTCCCTGACTGCCGTCATATTTGTCTTGTACAAATAACACCAACATTACAGCCACGCGATAAGCATATTTGGCCTATTGCCTATTAGGTTGGTAATTGGGTTACTAAAAAAAAAAAAAAAAAAAAGAGGACTAATGTTCATTACCTAAGATGATGTATCAACTGGATATTTTGGGTCGATTTGAAAAAATGTGTCATCTCATCAATTAAAGCTATCTAAAGGCAAAACAAATTTGCCTTGTAAAAAACCAGGTTTCTCATCACTAGAACTGTTGGGGCAGAAGGGCTATTTGATAGGCAATTCCACTCGGGGTCTCTTGGGTGATTTAGGAATTGGATCCCCTTGGCTCAGGTGCTTTTGCACTGAATTCCACACAGTGGCTGACCTGTTTAGACCAGCAGGCCTCGCTTTTGCCTTTGCATTTCTACTTTATTCGTTCTCACATATTACACTCCAGGTAGCTGTTGCCTCCCCTGCTGACTATGGTGCCTCCCATGGTTCTCAGTGGCCATGATGTGGCAAATAAAGTATCATGAGGATGGATCCATGGGGGGCATAAAAATCTTACCAAGCCAGCGTTCCCTATTACTAATATCTTATAATGGTGTGGCACATTTGTCAGAACTAATGAGCCAATACTGACAGAGCATTATTAACTAAACACATACTGTATTCAAAGCTCCTTAGTTTTTATTTAATGTCCTTTTTCTGTTCCAGCATCCCATCTAGGAGGCCATACTACATGTAGTTATGTCCTTTGGCTCTTCTGGGCTGTGACAGTTTCTTAGACCTCCCTGGTTTTGATGACCTTGACAGTTCTGAGGAGTGTTGTTTAGGTGTGTAGTAGAATGTCCTCAATTTGTTTCATCTGATGTTTTTCTCATGATTAGACTGGGGCTGTGGGTTTTGTGTAAGAAGACCATAGAGGCAAAGTACTCTTCTCATCACAGCACAAGAGTAGGTACTATACATACGACTGATTATTGTTGATATTGACCATGACCACATGACAGAGGCAGCCTGTATCAGATTTCTCCACTGTAAGGTGCCTCCTTTTCTCCCCATTGCACACTTGTTCTTTGAAGGAAGTCACTCTGCACAGCCCATACTTCATGGGAAATTTGCGTATTGAAACTGAACTCTGCATCATTATTCATTCATATAATTGACATTAGTATGGGTTTATATTTTATACTCAGTGTTATACTGCATTAATTGATTGCTCAAATTGTCCCAGCTTTTGCCATTGAGAGTTCTGTCAGTGGGCTCCTGACTGCCTGTGACATATGCAGCATGTGTTTCTGAGCAATCCTCATTTTCTGGCATTACAACATGCTACAGGTTAATTTTGTATCTTCCCTGCTCCAGGCCTAGAATCAGCCATTTCTCCAAAGATCCCTGGTTCTTTACTGGAGCATGGCATGATCTCAGCTAGAAATACTCAACGGTACTGGAACCAAGGTTTTTAAAGAAGAGAGCAAATGTCTTTATAAACTGCTTATACTAATCTCCTTGGGGTACTGGGGGGGGGGTGACATTTTGGAGTATAAGCCATGATCCTCTAGTTTGTGCTGTGAACAAAAATAATATTTAATGAGCTACAGAGATGATGTAGGATAATTATGGCAAAAGTGAATGCGTTTTGGCAAGTATAAAGCTCTGAAGAAATGTAAAGTATTAAATAATTTTAATCAGCTTAAGGTAAAGCCCTGAGGGCCTCTAGACCTTCATTCTGAGTCAGTTTGGAAGGGAGTTTCAATTTTCTGATAACTGACTCATTTATCTACTATTTCTTCTCAACTTATCTGATCTTTGGTTTTTTAAAACTCTGTCTAGTTATTACTTTGTATCTCTTCTTACAAACTAGAGACATAAAAATAAAGCTAAAAGATTCTTTCTAGAAAGGAGCACAAAAATAAAAGTGTTTAATATTTACCAACAGACTCCTGGAATATTAAAATCTTTCCATCCCCTCTAAAACATCTTTATGTAGGGCTAGGGCAAGAGCACCAGGACCGATGAAGCCAGAGGCAGAATCCTGAACCTGGAGAGAATTTTTCCCCAGGACCACAGAGTTAGAAACCCATTGGCTAGCTTTGCCACCAAAGTCTAAAGGAGCATATAGGAAACAAAGATTTACTCCTGATCCGCAGCAGTTCATCAGGCAGGTCTTTCCCCGGGCAGTGAGAATAGTTAGGTTGCAACATTAAAACAATAACACAAAAGACTTGAGGATCATTAGGGAGTAGTTCATTAGGGTACTACGAGGCCTCAAGGATCAAGTCACTTGGTTCTCCCATTTGGTACACATCAGGTCAATTTCAAATCAAAATTCCCATGGGCAAGACAGCAGTGGAGAGAGTATAAACCCTGACCAAGTTTCTTTATTCATAAAAATGAGGACTGACATGACAGGGAATTAAATTAGGTAACTGCAGACAGAACCTACTTCATGACAAGTTTTTAATAGTTTCTTTTTTTCTTTTTCTGGCTATCTAAACCTAAAAATTCAGGAAGGGCCATATGCAAGAACTTTCAATAATGTAATTTTCAATAATATAAAACAAAAAAGATAAAATACTTTACAGAGGAAGGCATGTATAGTTTCTAGCCTGAAGAGCCATATAATTCCACTCTTCTATTTGTAATAAGAAAACAAGTCTGCTTCCTAGTAAGGCCAAAATATGATTTCCTTGCTACTCAACAAATCTTAGGGCATGTTTATCTTTCTAAAAAACTATACATTTTCTAAAATGATTGTAATGGAAATTGTAAATGGATATTGTTCTATTGGTGTTAACTGAATCTGAATGGAAACTGAACCCCGCATCAAGCTAATCACAGTACAACTTAAAAAACATTCCAGTATATATTTTACAAAATGGCAAAATGAATGGAAACGTCATACCATCATGGTTTTAAGCAAAAAAACAAAACAAAACAAAAAATCAGTTCTCTTATTGCTCAGAAATATGATCCTTAACATAAGCTGAAAAACACTGTGGGGTATATGAAGGAACAGCAGAAAACCTTCACATTGACAACTGAACAGAGGACTAAACCTAACCCAGAATGCTCAGCAACAAGAAAGTTGGTTTCAGTTGGGCATTGCCACATTGGTTCAGTGGGGGAATAACCAAATATCATACTTATCATGTACATCTTTATATAAGCTATGAATGTGTTTAAAAATTGATAAGGTCATACTATCTATAATGTTTTTTATTGCTATGTGTGCACACATGTATACACATACACATTACTTCAGAGATGGACTGATAACAGGAGAAGAGGATCAGAAAGTGTTTTGGAGTCAAATCACATTATACCTCCTATAGCTCCTACAATAGCAGAACTATTAACTGCAAATCCAGTTCTATTCCACGATGGTTTTCTTCTCTAAAGAAGGAAATAGTGTTTTAAACACTATGGTGTTCTCTTCAAGTGGTATTTAGGGAGTTGAAAAGAAAAAAATGCACTCTTTAAGAAAGGCCCCTGCTGAGCTTCCTGTGCAGATCTCTCTGTACAGAGTTAGGCAAAGGGAACTGCTAAATAAATGCCTTGTAGCCTGGAGTTAGAGAGTAGAGACTCTTGGTTGCCTAGCAGTGGCCTTTAACTGATGAATGTGGAGCAAACAAGGGAAAAAGAAAAAAAGGAATCCTGTGTTCTCTGGGACTTGCTTTAGATGGGGTTCTGACCACTGAGGCTCTTCTGTAAGCGGGAACTAAAACTGCAGAGGAATTCAGTGAATGAGCACAGCCAAGTTCCTAAAGGATGATTCATTCTGGAAAAGATAAGTAATCTAAAAGTGTACCCATGCAGTATTTATTATTCAAAGATCAAAAGCTGTCTCTATTTGATTGCTCTGATATATATCATTCAAAGACTGCAAGCACAATACATAGACACTGGGGCACTAAGGAATGGCTTGGAGTTCATCTGAAACAAAAGCCTTGATGGGGAAGGTAAACAGAGTTGTGATTTAGTCAGGAAGGTACATAATTTGAAGGTAAGTATTCTATTTGCTTCTTGCTACATAATAGATTTTTTTTAATACTTACGTAGTAAGTAGTTAAAATATATAAAACACTTATAAAAAAAAAGTTATATTTTCATAAGAGTGATCCCAACTAGATTGAATATGCTTTTATATCACAAATCTCAGTAACTTTACCAATCACTCCTAGGCATACCCCAAAATTGAGGTTATGAGCCATCATCTAAGTTATTCTGTTTTGGGGTATAGGCTGGTGGCATGAAAGAAAATGAGATGCTACTACAGGTCTTGTCTTATAAATCCAACCCTATCGAGTGACAATAAGCATACCCTCTTTACAGGTCCCCCATTCATTTTTGGCAAGCAACAAGTCATGCGAATTAATGAAATCTGACAGAACAACATGAAGAAAAATATTAAAGTGTAAAAGCAGAATTGTTCTATTGGTGTTAACTGGAATCTGAATACTTTAGCACCTCTGGTTTCAACCACTGACATTTTTCTCTCAAGAGTTATGTGGGTTTTAGTGCAAAAAATATTAAATTTCTTAGTACAAAATGTTTTGGATAAAGAACAGAATTTTTAGCAAGACAGTTGCACTATTGTCAGGAACAGAATAGAAAAATACACTAGCCAAATTATTAATTATAAAATACACTAGCCAAAATATTAAATTTTCTTTTGATAGAACTATATGAAAATTAATATTTATTTGTGGACAGCATTTAGAGTTTGGCCTCAAAAAGAACAGGTAAGCAGAGCTTCCAGAGGCCACACCTAACAGGAACTATCTCCAAGAGGAGGGAATTCAGGTGCATCTCTCCCATTCTCAATTCATGGAGGATTGTCTACACAGCACTGCAAACCACCAGTTACACAATTTTAAATGGAGAAAGGATAGCATCTTCAACAAATGGTGCTGGGAGAACTGGAAATCCATATGCAACAAAATGAAATTGAATCCCTTTCTCTCACCATGCACAAAAGTTAACTCAAAATGGACCAAGGAGCTAGGAATCAAACCAGAGACTCTGCGTCTAATAGAAGAAAAAGTTGGCCCTAATCTCCATCTCGTCAGGCTCCAAATTCCTTAATAGGACACCTATATCACAAAAGTTAAAATCAAGAATCAACAAATGGGACATGTTCAAACTAAAAAGTTTTTTTCTCAGCAAGAGAAATAATAAGTGAGGTAAATAGGGAGTCTACCATCCTGGGAACAAATTTTTACCCCTCACACTTCAGATAGAGCTCTAATCTCCAGAGTATACAAAGAACTCAAAAAGTTAAACAACAACAAAAAAAAAAAACAATAACCTAATCAACAAATGGGCCAAGGACCTGAACAGACACTTCTCAGAGGAGGATATACAATCAATCAACAAATAAACGAAAAAATGCTCACCATCTAGCAATCAGAGAAATGCAAATTAAACCACTCTAAGATACCATCTCACTCCAGTAAGAATGGCAGCCATTATGAAGTCAAACAATAACAAGTGCTGGTGAGGATGTGGGGAAAAGGGTACACTTGTACATTGCTGGTGGGACTGCAAATTGGTGCAGCCAATTTGGAAAGCAGTATGGAGATTCCTTGGAAAGCTGGGAATGGAACTATCATTTGACCCAGCTATTCTCCTTCTCGGACTATACCCAAAAGACCTAAAAAGAGCATACTACAGGGACACAGCTATATCAATGTTCATAGCAGCACAATTCACAATAGCTAGACTGTGGAACCAACCTAGGTGCCCTTCAATAGATGAATGGATAAAAAAAAAGTGGCATTTATACACAATGGAATATTACTCAGCACTAAAAAAATAACAAGATCATGGCATTTGCAGGGAAATGGATGGCATTAGAGCAGATTATGCTAAGTGAAGTTGGCCAATCCCTAAAAAACAAATGCCGAATGTCTTCTCTGATATAAGGGGGGGTGACTCAAAATAGAGTAGGGAGGAAGAGCATGAGAAGAAGATTACCACTAAACAGGGAAGAGAGGTGGGAGGGAATGGGAGGGAGAAGGGGAATTGCACGGAAGATGGAAAGAGACCCTCATCATTATACAAAATACATATATGATGGTGTGAGGAGGAAGAATAAAAGAGAGAGAAATGTGTCACAGTAGATTGGGTAGAGAGCGGTGATGGGAGGGGAGGGAAGGAGAGGGGGGTATATAGGAAGGGCAGCAGAATACAATAGATACTAGTATTGCTGTATGTATATATGTGGCTCTATAACCAATGTGATCCTGCAGCCTGTATCATGTGGAAAAATGAGAATTCATACCCCATTTGAATCAAATGTATGATATGTCAAGATCATTGTATTGTCATGAGCAACTAATAAAAAAAAGTACACAATTTTAAAAATCAGTTGCTTACAATTATTAGCCAATTAATTTCACTTTTTCCTGGGTCCATAGCAGATCTTTGGCTAGGTGTCCTGTTTCATAGGTTGCAGAAAAGCTTGGTTTCTGCTCTTGGAAGTACCAGGTTTGAATTCTGGCTCTTCTATTCACTGCCTTGTGCATGGGAAAGGGACCTGGCCTGTTTAATCATCTGTAAAATGGAGGTAATGATAATTTCTACCTCAAAGAGTTACCAAGGAGATTAAATTAACCAATGCATAAAAATCATCTAAAACAATTTTATCTGGGTGCAGTGGCATGCACTACAAAGTCTAAGCTACTCAGGAGGATTAGGCAGGATTCCTTCTTCCTAGGAGATGGAGGCTAGCCTGGATAACATAGCAAGATCAGGTCTCAATCAATCAAACCAGTTCTGGCTGTAGTAAAGTTCAAGAAAGGCCCACAAGCATCAATGTGCACTATTATCAAAAGATGACAATTTCGAGGCATATTCCACTAATGGCTACTTGGAACTGTGGGATCACTGGGTGTAATGATTTGTTTCATAAACCTGTTGTGGTGTTAAACATATGGAACCTAGATGAATACCTGTCCCACCTGAAAAAGCTGAATGAATAAATGCAAACACCACAAAAGCAGGATTTCTGTACTTTACCTCTTACACTTAAAATTTTGCCTAGCATGTTATCAACACTCAATAACTATTTGATGAATAAATGAACGGTTGAAGGCGATCTGGAGGAATGCTAAAAAGGGTAATAGGAATTAGATTCAACCTATATAGGCAAGGACACATTTAAGTTAGACCAATTACTATCAGGACCTACTCCATTGCTACAATGAAAATTACACTTCCCCAATATTGGGAGTTATTTCCTAAATGCAATTTTGTCCAACAGTCAGAAGGTTAAGCTGCAAATATTTGTTAATATATTGAGAGTATTCAATAATACTTGCATCTTACTAAAATATTTGGGCAAACATTCCACAAAAAATCATAACAGCCTGTTACAATTGCAGTTAAATTTTCTGTGAAAATATTCATATATAAAAATAACCACTCAGTGGTTGGGGCTATAGCTCAATGGTAGAGTGCCTGCCTCGCATGTGTGAGGCACTGGTTCAATCTTCAGCACCACATAAAAATAAATAAATAAAGAGACTGTGTCCATCTACAACTAAAAAAATATTTAAAAAAACACTCAAAAATTTCATAGGAAAAAAGACATTGTGATACCACAAAAAAGGTGATTTAATTAGGTTTTATTTTTCAATAGGTAAAAAATCTACCTTGGTGCCTTGGTATTTCTAAGAAAAAAAATAAAGAAGAAACAAATGAGTTCTCTATGCTGAAAACAATAAATAGGGGGAAAAACACATTATGATCTGTTAAAATATAACACTGTATTTTTTGAGAATTTTAGGACTGATTTAACAATTTTCTATTAGTATCTCAGTAATATTCTGAAAGTGGAAACTAAAACGGAAAACTCATAGAATCTTTAAAAAGAAGGAAACACAACAAGCACACATCAAGGAAAAGTTTCTACATTTGGTTTTGTTTTACCTTGAACCATGAGCATGGGCTCCTTGCCCCCGCCGTGGGCCAGCATCTCCCTGCGATAGCGCTCCCCAGCGGCCCTGGAGAAGAGGAGAGTGTTAGCCACACTTGCTGGCAGGGCTTGCTGGACTCCATGGACGCCCATCTTGAGTTATTCAAAGGAAGCCACTCTGGTGCCACATTCAGAAAACTTTCCACCATGTGACAAGTCAGCCCTAGATTATTTTCTTACTTTTAAAAACTGAATTCTGATTTTTGAATGATTCTAAAATAAATACATAAAACCAGGTGTGATACATTCACTGTTATCAGGATAACAGATTTTTGGCTTTCTGTTTTTTTAGCAGGCAGCCTCTCTTTATAAAAAGGATTATTTAGTTTATGCAGTATAGAATAAGTAAAAGATGATATCCTATTCTAATACAGCTTTTAGGATTATTTTAAAAGAAGGTTTGAAATTATTTATGCCAGTCTTTACTTTCTGAAAACAATTTGAGACAGCACCTAACAAAGACAGACAAATAACACTCTGAAATAAGAGTGCAGGAAAGAGAGCTGGCAGGAGAGGGTAGATGACAGCAGCAAACCTCATCCCAGAGCCACAGCTAAAGGACCACAAGACTTGACGGTGTGTGTGCTAGTGGTGAAGGCAGAGACGGAAATGCAGGTGGTTCTCAGCTTCTCAGACTCTTCACCAGTGAGCTGTACCTATGTAACACTGACTTCCACAGAGAACACTGTACATCTGTCTATACACAGGAAGGCAGGTTTGGAAAACATTTTTTTTTTTTTTTTGCTGTGCTAGGGAATCAAACCCAGGGCCTCATGCATGCTAGGCAAATGTTGCACTAAGGAGTAGCACCCACTGCCCCTTGGAGACTTTTCTTCCTTCCTTCCTTCCTTCTTTTATTTCAGTGATTGGATCCAGGGGCACTATATCACTGAGTTATGTCCCCAGTCCTATATTTCACTTTTTTTTTTTTCTATGACAGGATCTTGCTAAGTTGCTGAGGCCAGCCTTGAATCTGTGGTCCTCCTGCCTTGGCCTCCCAAGTCACTAAGATTACAGCTGAGACTTTTTATAGATTGAAATTCCCCACATTAATGACACTTAGAAACAAACTAATGCTATTCCTTTATGTTTTATGGAAAATGTTATTCTTTTAACACAATTGACTATACATTGTGATGAGATGACTTAGGTAAATTTTGAGATTATTTTCATTCCACTGGCTCTGGAACATCTTTATACCCAGGTAACTTAGTGAACCTATATACATGGTCTCTAATTGGACCTTTTGAGAGCATTACAGCATCAAAAGCATGTTGGCATCAAACACCACAGTCACACCCTGAAATGAATGCTAAGGCAAGGCAGGAAGCCTGCACAGAGGTGTGGCCCTCTCATGGAGGGACAAGAGCCTTGCCTGACCCCTGGTTGGGCGGCTTCAGGGTCCCCTTCAGGCCACAGGAGGCAATACCCCTTTTCCTGCTCCAAGTGTGCCTCCACTCTTCAGGACCTGATAAAGGCTCTCTGCCTGATTATTGATCACAAGCGGGATCAAAAGGACCCTTTGACAGAGGTTAGGAATTTTCTAGTCTACTAAGCACTTTTACTAGCTTATTTTTATGTGTTCATAAAAGTACGACAACTACATGTCTAGGCAAGAATGCACACATAACTAAGATACAAATATTTGCAAATGTATGTTTTTAATAGTATGTGGTTTTCTAGTAAAGTATAGTTCCTTCAAACAAGATAATATTTTGCCCATTTTATAGAAATCTCCAGTAAAGAGTTGCAGTCCCTGAAACTGATTTACTATGGGTCAAGTTTGGCTGTAAGATCCTTTGAAAATAATAAAATCCAAAAAGCAGACCAAGTGTCTGCAGTCTGCAAAGGGCAAGACAAAATAACATGTGGGTACCAAGCTGTAAAACATTTAAAAATTCTATGACATTAGATTTAAGTTCAAAAGATTTTAGAATTGAATGTGACTATTAACTGCTGAGAAAAGCCAAATCTGTGTCAAACTGAAAGCTGAGAGGTATGAAAGAGACAGGCAGGAGCAAGGAACTGGAAGAAGACCGAAATGACCATTGACCATTGTCAACAATGAAGCCCTGAACAAATCACTCTGAACCTCAGTTTACTATAAAACGTAGCTGTTGAAGCCAAACTGCTGTGAATGTCATATGTCAACTCCAGGGCACGCTAAAACTCTAACAGGATGTGTACTTTAAACCATGTTAAAGTGGTGAAGATAACAGTCACCCACCAGAACTGCCAGAAAGGTATTTGAAGACATGTTTATTTGGGTTGTGAGAAGATATGACATCAGATCATGATTACTGGTTTACTTTCAAAGGAAGTACCTTCTAAGGCATTATGAGACTCAAACTTCACTTTCTATTGGTTTTTATTGTTGGAGGGAGTCCTGTGAGAGTATCAGGGGAGGTCAAATCCAGGAGCACCAGAAAATCCCCTGTATCTCTCCTCCCAATGCAAGTACTACCAGTATTTCCTAAGTGAATGGGAAAATAGGACTGCCTCTCCCAGGTTTCTACACTCATATTCCCCTCTCCTGCCTCTGTTCTGGGGGAGGTGGTGGGCATGATCTGTTCATAACTGAAATTGACCTGCCCTGTTTCCTTACTCAATTGTTAAAGGTAACCAGATTTGTGGGCTGATCTGTTTTTTTTTTTGTGTGTGGGGGGGGAAGGGGTAGAGACAGTGAGTGGGTACTGGGGATTGAACTCAGGGGCACTCAACCACTGAGCCACATCCCCAGCCTTTTATTGTATTTTATTTAGAGATGGGGTCTCAGTGAGTTGCTTAGTGCCTCACTTTTATTGAGGCTGGCTTTGAACTCGAGATCCTCCTACTCAGCCTCCAGAGCTGCTGGGATTATGGGCATGCGCTACTGTGCCTCGCTTCTTGGGATGATCTGATGAATTATGCTTCTGGGAGTGGACCAAATACCTTAGTCAACCTCCTATTTTGGAATGCACCAGACTCTGTTGTCTAAACCACGGATTAATCTGATGATGTACACCTGAGGCAAGGTGGGGGCCCTTTGATGTCAAGGCAGAAAGAAATGCATGCGGGAATTCAACTGCCACCCATGCTATCTTGGTGGCCACCAGGAAGGTCGCTGCATCAGGGACTGTCAGTGAAGCAGCCCCTTCTTGAGACTGCCCCTGCCTTCCATGGAGACTGTCTCCCCAGGGAAGGAAAATGTTCCAAAAGAAGACAGAGGGGTAATATCCAGAAACAAACCATGTTACTGTCAACAAACAATGTTGCTGATGGTGCTGCTCCCAAATGGGGAAGAGTTAAAAAACCTTTGTTGGGCAGTAGAGAAAAAAAAACTATATCCTCGTGGGTAAAACTTTAGATGCGTGTGCCAAAGTCAAGAAGCCTGTCAAAAGTGACAGGAAGCTCTGAAAGCAGAAGGCACTGACAGCAGGAGTGGCTGGAAAAATGGAGAAAATACAAGGGAGCAGAATGGGAAAACAGCAATGGGTCGTCTTGTGCAGAAGCCAAAGAGTTACATGGGGTCAGTGGAGGGATGTGGAGGGTACCAGGCAATTCTACAGAACACAGAGTTGTGGAGTAAGGTGGAAGTTCAAGGCCACCATTGCCACAGGAAGAGGCTCACTGGAGGGCAGGGCCCCAAGATGAGTCTGTCTCACAGAGTTCCCACTTCCTGCCAGGGTCACCTGGGTTCCAAGTGATTGATGTTGGATATAGTGTGATAGAGATTACTATGGTTGAAGGAGGCAATGTTTTATAAACTTACACAGCCCTTATTACCTATTAAAAGGATCCTGTAGAAAACATTCCTTCCAAACCATGGACGCTACAGCTCTGGACATCAGGTAAGAGTAATATTTGGCACCATAGCCCACAAGGTGGCTGAATCTCAGCTGCCAGGCCTGCAAAAACAGAAAGACAGCAAGAGAAATAATTCAGTCTTTGCATTTTAGGAATATTATATATGAGAGAACAATGGAAACATAGAAACCTGTGCATGTTTTAAGTTTCTCCTACAGAGCTATGTCATTCACAATATTAATATTTTCACATTTTATACACTGTTATGAGCTCAACTGTGTCTCCCTAAAATTTATATGTGAAGCCCTAACATCAGAATGTAAGTGTATCTGGAGATAGGGACTTTAAAGAGGTGATTAAAATAAGGCTGGTACCCTCAGAAAAAGAAGAAATTTGGACAAAGATACTACAGCATGTGCAGAAAGGAAAGGCCCTGCAAGGATATAGAGAAGGCAGTCATATGCAATACAAGAGAGAGGCCTTAGGAGAAACAAACCCACAGAAACAAATGCAGAAGAAATTTCATTTGTTTAAGCTACCCAGTCTAGGGTATTTATTATGGCAGCTCCGGCTGACTAATACATACACAAAGAAATTCTTAATGATGTGAATATAATCTTCAAACAGATTTTCTTGTGTGTGTGTGTGTGTGTGTGTGTGTGTATACCTCCAAATATGTTTAACTTTCTTAATTGAGTTTACTTACTTCAACTAATTTTAATACATTTTATTTCATTTGACAATTTAGAAAAAACTCATGAGTTTACTTATTTTTAATAATTTGATAAGTTTTACTTTGCAATGACCATTTGCTGCAAGAACTGTTCTTCATATGGACTAGGCTAAACATATCCATATTTTATCATAATTTAAAAAATTTTATCCATTTATTACTTCTAATTAGGTATATGACAGTTTAATGCATTTTGATTCATTTTACACAATTGCAGAACAACATTTCTCTGGCTGTACAAGATGTCCCCTACCTCCCCTTTGCCCAATCACAGTTCTCCCATTTTTCCCATGGACCTCCCCCCATTATGGATCAGCACATATAGAGAACATCCAACCTTTGGTTTTTTGGGATCGGCTTAATTTGCTTAGCATGATATTCTTCAACTTCATTCATTTATTGGTAAATGCCATAATTTTATTCTCTTTTAATGTTGAGTAATATTCCATTATGTATATATACTACAGTTTATTTATACATTCATCTACTGAAGGGCATCTATGCTGGTTGCATAGTTTAGCTACTGTGAATTGAGTTGCTATAAACATTGATGTGGCTGCATTACTATTATTTGATGACGAGTCAAAAAGGCAAGAACATAAGAAAAATGGGATAGAATTGAAAAATTGTTTATATGAAGGCAGAGAAGCTGGAATCTGAGGTTGTTTTTTTTTCCATAAATAAAAGACTAACACTATGAACCAAAGGTAACCCCTGACTTCTGTAGCATCTTGATGAAAAGGTGAAGAAATTCTCAGAGCTCCCTGCCTTCCCTAAGCCTGTTCAGCTTATTTTCTAATCATGACAAGGAAGAAACTGCCACCTAATCATGTGTTCAAGTTTGTCACTCTGGGATTCACTTCTGCAATAGAAATGTAGAGAGGAAAACCCAGGAGGATGGCAAGAGGGTTGATCATGTAGCAGGGCTGGACTTTCACAGTTCTTTGGTTGTGGGTATCACAGAGAATTTTGAGAGAAAGCATCCATTCTTTCTGAGAACAAGGACATAGCTATTATAAGAAAGGCCATGTGGATTTTCATGGGAGAATACTGTTCCAGTGGAAACTTCCATAATATTGCTCTTTCTCTGTACTGAAAAATTGAAAACCCCCACACTCTGGCCAGGAAGAGGAGGGCCACACAGGTACAGATGCATAAGAGCAGGACAGCGTTTTTCTCTTTGTAAAACTGTCTCAGCAGAAGCTGGGTTATGAACCCTATTCTCAACACTTGGACTTTAAATTTTTTACTTTTCTGAAATGAATTTAATACATGGTCTTCTACTTTCTTCTAAAATAACCTTTACCTGACATTAAAAATTTTTTTGTAAAAGAACCAGAGTTCTTAAGATCAATAACTATTCCATAATCAATCTCATAACTCCCTAAAAATATAAATAAAGTATGATCCACACTATAACTCTTGAAACTAGAGAAGCATGCAATCATACACTTCTATGGTATACTTTGTCTGACATTTAAACTTTTTTAAAAAATAGGATTTTCTTTTGGGTGATAATCATTCTCTAATTCTCTAGGAAATAAGATATAAATATAATCCTTACTCCAACTCTATGAACTATATAAGCAAATTCTAGTTAATATATTAAGAAACAAATATTTCTGAAAAGATGGTTCTTTCATCACAGAAGTGCGACTAATCTTAGGACATTCTCTGAGCCCCCTACTCAACATGCAGTGAGTTTAAAGATAAGGCCATGTGGCAATTACTCTCTAAATGTGTGCATTTCTTTAAGATAATTAATCTGCCTGGACTGGGCAGGTTAGGGAGGTATGCAGGAGCACTCCAATCAATTTAGGCCGAAAATAACCCTCAATGTCTACTCTCCCTTTTCTGCAAAAAGATGATTGAAAACAAGGTGGGCACCCTGGGAGTCCTGTGCTGAAGGGAAGAACCATGTCCAGTTCCTGCCTGTGAGTGCACCAACTGTGAAGGCAGTATCTAGCACTGGTGGCACAGGGGCTCTGATTCCTGATGGCTGCCACCCATGCTATGCAGGTACACTTGCACAGCTGGCTGTCATCTCCCTCTCAGTCACAGTAACAAGGCCTGAACTCTATCTTTCACAAGACACTCCTCACCCCAGGCACACCAGGCACACTGGTTCCCAGAGGCTCAAGAGAGGCTGTGCCCTTGATGGGAGAAGCTGTGCACTAGAAATGTGGCCCAAGTGTCTTCAGTCAGCAGAGCCTCTTGAAGCAAAGAAGCAGAGAGGTAGACAGAGACTTTTCACCCTATTTAAAGACTAGTAGTATTTAGAAGAAAGTAAACCACCCAGGCCATCTATGGTCCAATTTCAGAATAGAAAACTGTGACTGACTACATTTTTAATTTAAAGGGCTGGGTCTTTGGAATTCACTTATAATGCACACACAGTTCTGTATAGTCTGACTTATTTAAAAAGGGGTCTTGTATATTTTTGATGTTATTCTGAAAACTCAGTCTGCTAAATGTTGCTTAAAATGTGGACCATTGGTGATCTTTCACACATGAAGCAATTTGGAAGAGATGATATCTTAAGTAATAGGACGTGGCCTGAAGTTATATTGGCTCTGGTGGTATGGATCATACAAGCATCTCTCAGAGTAAAATACATAGCACACAGTTAGGGAGCTTTCTCTTTGAAATGTTTTCTTCATGGTGATCTGCCAGATCTAGTTTGTCAACCTTTGCAATATATGCTGAATTTAACTTTGTTTAGATTTGACCTGAATACAGTTTTGTTTCATCTTGAGAGCAGGCCTACTTCAACAGCATCCTGATTTGAGCTTTAAAAAAAAAAAAAAAAAAAAAAAAGTCTAGGTCTCTTAGTTTCATCAACTCATAACTGAATTCCATATATACAGAGTAGTAAAAATAAGCCCTTTCAGAACTGCAGAAAGAGACATCAGGATTTCTGTGACACACCACTGCCTAAGCTGCCACATCTGCCTTAGAGTACCATCCCTACCTGGACATAGGTATTCTGGCTGTGTCTTGCTCTTTAATTACAGGCTTGAGTTTGCTGCTACACCCTTCCCAAACCTCACAACCTGCTAAATCAATTATACCTACTTGACACCTTTCATCAGAGGTTTGTAACTTTATGGACAACTAGACCTACAATTCCACTGCTATTTGAACACAATTGCTGAATTCCTTCTAATTTAACTTAACATTACATCCTTGTTTCTATTTTACTCTTTCATCTGAAAAAACATGTAAGACAGCATTTCAGGTTAAGCACTGGAATTAGCTCATTTTCTTCCTTGTAAATCAAAATTTTCTTCTTTTTAGGGGGGAATTGTCAAGCGGACAAGTGTCTACCCTTCCCTCAATGTTTGACAGACAGGTCTGGTTTTAAAAACAAATGATGCAAACGTCTTCATAATTTTCCTTGTATTCTTGCTAGAAATGCAGACAATCAAATCCTAACACTATCCCAAGGTATGGTTATCTAAACTTGTCTTGAGTTAGATAATCTCAGTGAACCCATATGAAAGACAGAACATAGAGCTGGTGGAGCAGCATGTCAAGAGCCCCGTGGGTAATGTTATTTGCCTTAGAACTCTTCAAAGAACGTGAGACCCTTTGAGAGTTTTTATTTGCCTGTTTCTCTTCTCTGACTTTATGATTTTCTAGGAATGGAAAGGCAGCAATGTAGCTCTTTACTATTTTCCCATTCAAACCTGGAATAGGAAAACTAGAGGGAGGAAGTACTCGCTCACCACACATTAAACAGTGAGTGATGAAACCAACCATTTCTCTTAATTGCACTATTAAATGGAGCATCATTTCTTCATTTCCAGTGATATGTGTATAAATGCATTTACCTAAAATATATTTTAAAACAATCTTATTGTGAGACAATACAAACTGCATACAAATAGGGATGGTATCCATTGCTTCCTTAGTGTGTGTCATTCTATACTGAAATTTTCTTTAGATCATGAACCACATGATCTGTCCAAGTGTAGACTCAGCACCGTACCTGTCAGAGCATAACAGAAATTCAGTAGACTCTGCTGGTTGGCTGGCTGGACAGGTGGGGGGACACTATGTGATTCTTTCAGACTGATGTTCATACATGATATCTGTCTCTAGCCCACTCACCCTAGAAAGCCTCTTGTAGTAGTGGAAGGAAGTTACAGCCATGTTGGGAAATCCCACTGTCAGACACCTAGGGGTCCTCTAGAACTAGGAGGGAGTCTCTGGAACCTGGGAGACCTGCAAGACCCGAAGAAGGGGTCTCTATAAGCTGAGAGAAGCCATTATGACATGGGCAGGGGGCTACTCTAGGATCTGTGGGCCATCTATAGATAGCAAGAAGCCTGTCAGTCCCACCGCCACAAAGAAATGAGTTCCACC